AGTTGCATTCATTTAAGAAAACGGCAGAGAGAATGAAAGCCTATTCCCATAAGACAGAAAAAGACTAGCACAGGAGGTGCAAATGAAATCAATGAAGAATGAGTGATGTCTATCAAATTGGCAAAAGGAAAACGACACCTTGTTTAACTATCTACCAAGCAATGTTTTATTTAAATAAAGGAAAGATACATTATCTCTATATATCACAGACATACATCTAGTCTTTAAATGACAGGTAAAACCATTTCAGGTGGTTAAAAGCAAATGGGCTTTCTCTTCCTATATATTCTTGAACGGTAGACATATATACATAAATCAATAATCTGATCTAGTTTATTATTGGTTTTATGGTTTCTTAAAATTCTAGAATCTTAACCAGTTGTCTTCAAGTTGATTTCAACTCATGGGCAACCCCATTTAGGATACGTACTGGACTGGTAAGTGCAAGGTCAGCAGTTCAAACCCACCAGCTGCTCTCAAATACCCTATACAGGATTGTTATGATTCAGAACCTACTCAATGGCATACGACAATAAGAACAGAACTGTGCTGCATTAAGCTGTCGATGGCTGATTTTTCAGAAGTCTATTGCCAGGCCTTTCTTCAGGTGTCCCTGGGTCAACTCAAACCTCCAGCATTACTTTCACTTAGCAGCTGAGCGTGTTAACCCATGGCACCACCTGGGATTACTAGAATCTTCTTGTTGTCAAATGCCATCAAGTCAATTCCGACTCACAGAGACCCTGTATAAGGGTTCCAAGGAGCAAATGGTGGGTTTGAATGGCCAACCCTGTGGTCCACAGTTCAGTGCTGACCCACCAGCACCACACCAGAAGTCCCCTAAAATCTTAGGCTACTTTAATACTAATACACTAATAATGACTAATAAACACTGATCAAATACTTAACGAAGTATAAACAAAAATGCACAAATCTTGAGAAACTCTATGAAATTTCAGGTACAAGTATGGGCTCTTCAACTCAACAAAAGTATACTTTTGTTGTATCTAAGTGCTAAGGATCTCTAGTGGTTTCTGCTTCCTAGAGGTTGGAGTTCCAAAAACAGCTACATTAAAGAAATAAGAACATGACCCTTTGGGGGCATGCATTATCTCCTTTGTTCCTCATAACAAGCCTTTGAAGTAAATATGATTCCTGTTTTTTACTTCTATCACACTGAGCCGTATAGCCCCGAGTAGCAGAACTGGAATAAAGCCCATGTGAGCTCTACCATGGGCTAAAGCCCAAGTTCATTTTAATTATCGTAGGCTGAAACTCAATCTGGCCTTAAGACCCATCCCCAAGTAGAGAATTTTCAGAATGCATACACCACAAAATAAAAGATGTAAAAGGTTTTGGCAGTAGAGAGATCCCACTGCTGTGGGGGCAAAATATCAAGTCCTAAATTTTTTTGTTTTGTTTTTTAGGTAGAAAAAGTAGGGAAATATTAAAAATCTGTCCTGAATTGTTCACGTACTTACTTAAGTGAAAACAGACAGCAGGATCAAACTCTCTCTCCTGATAACCAGTATTAAAAAATTAAAATACAGGCTATCCAGAAATATGAATTTTACCAAAACAACAAATACCTGAGACATATTTAAAGGGGCTTCAAAAAGCTTGTGGAAAATTTTCATTAAAATATAATGAGATCTTTCCACAAACTTTTTGAAGCTCCCTGATACTTACACTAAAAGACTATTTGCTGTTTATCCTAAATTTAGATTAGCTGGCTGTTTTGTATTTTATCTAGTAAACCTACTCATCATCCAAACAGCATTGACTATTGCGTGGATATAAAATCCAGACCCAGCTTAGATATAGACTCAAGAAAGTGTGCCTACAAGCACAATCATTTGTAAAGAGCACAAATGAGAGGATGTTGGAACAAAAAGAAACGAGTCCCCTAAATTGTGTGTGAGGAGGACATCACACCCTCCTGAGATGTTCCCAGTTATGATTCAGCTGATACCTCTCTAGTCATTTCATTCACTTTGTCATATAGAACCTTAATTATTTTAGACTACTGTTACCTTTACTTTTACATGTTTTGTATTTCTGAATAAATACTCAGGTTTACATGTAGAGTTGTTTACTTAAAAAAAAAAAGTCATTTGCTTTAGTTATGCATTCCTAAGTTTCAGCTCTATCATCAATGATAAACTGCATCATATCTACATCTACCTTTTCTTATTAAAGAGAAAAAATATGTCTCTTGAAGAAATTCACATTACAGAGAGTTGGTAAGTAATGTGGTTTACGAAACAATTTCTTTTCATACTTCCTATTATTATGTGACATAGAATTATACTAAAAAATGTGAATTAAAAACAAATCATCTAAAGTTTAAAACAAGTGTTACGACATACAGTGCTATTAGTAAATACAGCTATGTGCCATATAAGGATTGTTAGCTCTTTTTACTAGAACAATGGCAGCTTATATTCAGACCCAAAATGACTCACTTTACTTGTATTAAATACAATCGAACCATAATCACACAAGAGAAATGATTGCCTAATAAGCATGCATATGTCAGACAGATTTGGGGACATTTTCCTTCACAATGCCTATTCCAATTAAAGTGAAATCAAGTTTGTTGTTGTTGTTTTTTTAAATCAACCCAGGCAATGAAAACCAGTTTAACAGAACCTGAGCCCTAAATAATCTGAGGATTCATCTGAATAAAATGTAATCATATATATCAAAGTCCCAGTACCATATTTTCCTTATGGCACTCATAATTTTGCTTCTGAGATTAGAACCTATGCTACTTTCATGTATTATAGCTCACATATTCAATTACACATACAATATCTATTTACATATGACATCCAGTGAGAAATGAAGAAAAGGCATTAAAGGTATAGTAATCAATAAAAACAGTTTTTGAGATTTTAATACTACCTTACTACAAAAAGAATCTAAATCAGGCAATTAAAAATTAAGACTTTTATTGTTACACTTTCAGTTAAATTATTGTTTTCAAATATTAATGTAAATTTAAGATTTATTTTGTGACAATTTTTTCTTGTTCTAAGCTTTTTGCAATTGATTTAATGGATGTACACTCAGATTAATGAAGGAACAAGCCTTTAAAAACTGTTAGCAAACAATTAGATTATATTTTAAACATTTTAAATAGTCCTGTTTTAATTCAACTCTTAAGAAAAGGGAAAAAAGAAAGATAATCAGTCTTCAACCTCCAAACCTTTAAAACTTCACAAACGCCCATCAATTTAGATAATATTCAGTTTTCTTAACAGCAAATGGTATGTCATTAAACAAATGTAAATTGCATCACCTTTTAAAATCGTGTGGATCTTAGAAAATGCTACATAGAAATTTCTGATTAGATCTTTTTTTCTCTTTTGAAAGAATCTGATTTTTTCTAAGTACAGTGGAGTTGGTTCCGAATTACAGTAACCCTGTACGGGATTTCTGAGGATTATCTGGTGAGTTTACAATATATTCTTGCAGTAAATGAGTAAAACTTGGTTACACTTAATACTACCCATTCTTGACCACTTTCATAAAACTTCTTTTTGAGAATCAATAAATTAACTAAACATTTAAAACTCATCTTTGCACTTTTAATCCAAATATGACTTGAATTCATTAATTTAGAAAATTATCTGAAAGTTTGGGGTCACTGAAGTGGGTAAAGGGAAAGTTGAAATTTTAAAACTATATTTGTATTCTCACAAGAAAACCACAAAGACAAACTGAAATTAAATGTCATATGAAACACCCCTATTTCCTTTTCAGCCTACAGTAGTAGTGAAGGCATTGTTCTGTCCAACCCTTTAAAAAGATCCTTTTTACTTCCTCTTCTGTACTAGGTATCGGCTTCCACCGAGGGTCACTGTGCCAGCTGTGAGGGCGGAGGTCAATCATAAAGAAGGGCCCCCCTTTTCCAGCCTCCAAAGCTAAAAACCAAAACAAAACCCAGTGACTTGGAGTCGATTCCGACTCATAACACTACATAGGGTTTCCGAGACTAAAATTTAATAGATGCAAGCAGCTACATCTTTCTCCCGCAGCGCAGCTGGTGGGCTTGAACTTCTTACATCGCAGTTAGCAACCCAATGCCTAACTCACTGCATTAACAAGTACTTTTAGGCCTCCCCGCCTAGACGCAAGCTGCTCTGTCTGCGTGGAAAGTTACCCTATTCTCTTTGCCAAAATCCTGGGAAAGGTCCAGTTCGAACGCCGTCTACCTGATTCACCCCTGAAGTACGAGGCCCACCAGAACCACCGCTGTACACAGGAGTCGCCCTCTAATTCTATATGGTGTTTCTTAGTAAACTCGTTCCTCCGTAAAGCAAAAGTGCCAAGAGTTTAGTAACTGAAAATTAACCTTTACATAGTGATTCAAAGTTGTTTTCATTTTTGGCCATTATTTAAAAACACGAGCGTTCTAAAAACTTTCTTTCCAATAAAAGAAACAACAAACTGATTTCTCGGTAACCTAGAAAGTGTACGCTTTATTTCACCATAAAAGTGAGCCACTTTGTTAGAGTAACATTTCCACTTACGACCTGTTAAAAATGTCATTGATGACACTTAAAGAGGCGCCACAACTGTCAGTCAGTACAACTACGATCGCTGCTGGGCACTAAATGTAATTAAACAGCTTTCTGAAGGTTCCTCATTCCGGCTCTAAAACATAAAACAACCATTTCAATACAAGTCCATTTTAAAATACGAGACCTCGTCGTCCTCCTTTGGAAGATGATTTACCTAATCTTAAAATCAAGCCGTTGGGAATTTCTAAGGTTCCGGCGATTATAACGAGATCAAATTACAGAGTGTGGTTTTGGTTTCACACGCAAACCCCGAACCAGTTAACTTTTTAAAAGGCTGACAATTTGCCAGAAAGTGTTTTAAAGACAGAATGGACCACGGCCAAATCTCAGCGGACCACCTCTCCTAGCTCCCGAAACTCGCAGCAGCAGATCTGGGAAAAACCGGGCCCTGGCATCCGCGCCAACACTCACCGGAGGCCATGGCTGCGATCTCCGCGCCGCCCCGCAGGCAGCTTGTAAAGTCCGGGCCCGACACCGCCGCAACCAGTGAGCGCGCCAGTCAGTCAGGCAGTCGCGGAACCTCTGCCGGCGGGACCCCAAACTCCCTGACCACTCCCGGACCCTCCTCCTCCTTCCCGCCCTCCTCCGGGTTTGTGGCTCACACCTTCCCACCCCCTTAGTTCTCGCGCTCCGGGTCAGCCGGAGTCGCCCATCAAGGGTGCGGGAGTCAGGGACAGGAGGCGGAGAGCGGTAGAAGCCCAGCGCCAGCCCGGAGGGGGATTTCCCATCACTGACGTCAGCCCCCTCCTCACCAGCCCCTTCCTCCGGAGGGCGGGGCTACTTCGCGGCTGGTGCGCGTGCGTCCGCCTCTGCGGCTAGCGCACCGCCCCACCCCTGTCCCCCAGTGCAAAAGCTCTCCGCCCCCGCGCATGCGCCCCTGGAATGGCCGCGGGCTTAAGACAGGGATAGTTGCGAACTGGGAATTTAGACTCTTGGAGAGCGCGGGGAACGCTGGGAGTCGGGAGGTGTCAGTCCCGCGCGTGCGGAGGCCGCGAGTTTCTGAGAAATCCCCCTCCTCCAGGTGGTTCTTTGGAGCGTGGTTTAAAGTTCAGAAGCGGTTGGGAGGGTGTGGTGACGTCGAGAGAGCCGTCTGTCCGGGAGCACTGAGGGGCGGGCAGGGCGGCAAAGTGGGGCCGGACCTTTCGGTCTGGTGGAGGTCCGCCCGGGGTTTTCGATAGGTGGTTCCCCCTCTTCCCGATTTCGCAGATGCAAATCGCCGCCCCCGGGCCGGTGGGTGTAGGAGCCCAGGCGTCCTAAGGGAAGTGCAGAAGCAGTGCTTGCCTTTAGTCTCTATTTGCATACGGGGACCCCCGCCATCTGATTTCCCCCTTTGTCTTTAAGCTGTGAAGGCTCTGTTAACTTTGGGTATTTTATCTACTAAAAATCTTTGAAACTCAAAAGGTCTGCACGGTGGTGATTTGTACTATAGTTAACAATTGCTTCATCATTACATGTTAAAGTTTAGTGAAAAACATTGTCATTCAGTTGACTTTCAGCGACCTTAACCAAAACCCAAAACCTGCCAAAAACTGCCATGGAAAGGATTCAGACTCAGTGACCCTATATAGCAAAGTAGAACTACCCTATAGGGTTTCCGGTGCTGTTAATCTTAGGTGGAGTTGTTGGTAGCCTCATCCTTCTCCACGGGAACCATCAACCCTTTGATTAGCAGCCCAACACTTAGCTCGCTGCATCACGAGGGCTGCTGTGGCGACCCAAGTCAACCTTATATCCCGAAATTTGACACAAATACTCAGGAAGAATATGGAGAATGGAAAAGCATTTGGTGTTAAAAGGAATCCAGTATAACTTTGTTTCCTTCATTTGATAAGTCTCCTGTGTGCCAGATACTTTACTGATTAAGTTATTAATTTTATAGATGAGATCATTGGGAATCAGAATTAGGTAATTTGTCCAAAGGTCAGAATGCTGGTAGAAGGAAAAACAATTTATGCATAGGGTTGTCTGAATCCAAACATCTATGCTCTGTCCATTCTTACTATTTCAAATAAGGGAATAGAGAGTATCAGAGTGTCATATTATCCAATAGCAAGGTAAACACAGGCTTACTTGTGTTTACTTACTTATCCATTCACATTTTTTATCACATCAAAGATTCTGCCTCTAGGTAAGGCTGTCATCTGTCTTTCCTAACCCCACAGCACCTTTCTAGAAAAACAAGTCTCTTCAGATTTACAGTCCCTGGGAAGGAGTAACCAGTAAACAAGGTAAGTATGGATTTACTTAAGCTTACTTATCTGTAGTGAACACTTTCATATGATGTAGTGAAAAACTTGTGAACCTGTTCATTGTAAATGTAAGCACGCACAAATAAGCCTGTGTTTACTTTGTTTATTGGATATCTCTACCCATTATCAGCCTACCATAAAGACTGTAAAGGAAATAATAATAAAATCTGCTAATCTCAAAATGATCTACAAAATACAGAAAAGAATAAAGTAGTTTTACTATTTTAATAAGTGTTACATCATACTTGATACCCAATCACAGGCTGTCTGCTCAAGATATTGCAAAACCAAAAAAAAAAAAAAAAATCACCCTTTTATTTGTATATAGCCAGACAGATACATTACATACCTGTGAATTGTCTTTATATATTTAAAACACAGACAAAAAACAACAACTTCTTGCATCCTTTCATCAGTAGGAAGTTACATCTTGGAGCCAAGCACTTCGGTTTACAGGGACAGGGAGACCTCACACCATCCTTCTTGATGTTCATATTTGAAAGAAATGGCTCCAAGGTCCCCAAGAAAGACTTCTTGAGATCAAAACTGGCAAGAGAATTATTTAGCTTTTTTTTAAAGATTTACATATTTCGCAAAGAGATAGAGAAAGCATTACTATTTCAAATTTTCTAAAGAAAAGGGAGGAGGGGGAAGTTCTCTTATCATTTTTGGCACAAGGGAAATTTTTTCATTGAAATTTTTTCTTGGGTTTGTATTTGCCATACAGTCCCAAATGTAAGAACTTTAAAGGCAAGATAAGCACAGATGTTTCAGAACCCATTAGGAGGGTGAAGGACAAATAAAATGGAAAATGTTTGGTATGTTTGCTCATATTCCACTGCCAGGAATGTATTGGTTGTATGTGTTTCTTGAACATGAGGTTGATTTGACTGATTCAGTAGTGAAGATGATGATGGTGGAGAGACAGGAGATAACTTCATGAGTGAGGAAGAAGAGATGAAATCCAAATTACAAGTGGAGGAGCTGGTCATAAATGAAAGTGTTATGTGCCATCGAGTTGGTTCTGACTCATAGCAACCCTATATAGTGTTTCCCAGAGCAACTAGTGGGTTTGAACCCCTAACCTTGTGGTTAGTCTGGTACTTATTCTACAGCATTTTTCTATGGTAAAAAGGAGGAGGGCAGACTAGATGGTTACAGATGTAGGGATCCTGGTCAATTTGATGGTACAAAGATGAGGTAGGCTGTTAAATTGCCTGTTAAGGAAATGAAGTTTAAGGTAAAGTTCAGCTGAAAGTGGAAGGTGAAGATGGAGTGAAAAGTGTGAGGAAGAGGGAGATATGAAAATACAATCTCTGAGAAAAGAACTTCAGAAGGTATATACCTGGCTGTATTGAATGTCCATTTGAGATGTGTGGTCATAAATGTAACATCTGACCAGTCAGCACAGTATTTCTTATAGCCAAAAGAATAGAAGTGAGCAATACTCCCTTGAAAAAGAAGAAAAAGCAGTAGAAAAAAATTAATCTGTATGGGAAGGAAGATGGGGGGAAGACAGGGATGTATACTACATACACTTCTCAACCTACACACACTCCCTAGTTTGTCATCTGTTCTCATGATTTTACCTAAGGTCTCAGAAGCGTGTATCCAGCCTGAGCCTCTCCCTGGACTTCAGATCTATACAGTTTGTGCTAGACATATCTACTGGCAGTGTCACAGGCATCCCAAACTCAACCTATCGAGCATCTTTTCTCCTAAAGCTACTCTTCCTCTTATATTTTCGAGACCACCATCTACCCAGAAACATAGGCTAAAAGCTTTGGAGCCATCTTTGATTCCTTTCGTTCCCATCATCCTCCCACCTATCCCATGACATCCAGTCTCCAACTACTGCTAATTTGACCAATCAAATAGGAATCCCTTCCGTCTCCATCTTGACTGTTAGTAAGTACCCTGGTGCAAATCATCATGCCTCACTTGAATACCTCCCCGAATGCCCTCTGATTATGTCCATCTGTACTTTTGTCCCCTTCAAAACCATTCAGATCTATAGTTATTTGAGTCGTCTGTGTGAATGTGTTTCTTACCATACCACTCATGTACTTTAAAATCATCTGTGACTCCTATTAACATTGGATCCAAACGGGCTAGCATTGGACGTCACTTCTAAGCCCCTTCATAATCTGACTTCAGACTCTTCTCCTTGGCCCTATGCCTTGCACTTTAGACCACACTGAACTATTTCGTAGCTTCTCATATATTATAAGACTTGCTGTTTCTTTTCTCTTTGCCTTTATTCATGCTTTCCCCTCTGCCTTTGAAGCATATTCCCCAGAAATATGCCATGTTTAGGATTGAAAAGCTCAGTATTGTTAAAATGTCACTTCTCAAATTAATCTATGGTGGTGGTAAGTGGTAGTGGTAGTATGCCATGGAGTCGGTTCAGACTCATAACAACCCTGCATAGGGTTTCCAAGGCTATAAATCTTTACAGGAGCAGAACGCCTCATCTTTCTTGCAGAACAGCTGGTAATTTTGAACTAACTACTGACCTTGAGGTTAGCAACCTGACATGTAACCATTACATTACCAGAGCTCCTTAATCTATAGATTTAGTAAATCCTAATTGAGGCACTGTGGGTTAATGCCCTAGATTGCAAAGTCATTTGAATGGCAAGGTCGACAGTTCAAGATCACCAGCTGCTCCTCGGAAACCCTATGAAGGTCGCGATGGGTCGGAATGGTACTTAACAATTGAGACCTCAGAATATTTTTTGTGTGGAAACTGACAAAATGATTCTGAAATATATTTGTATATCTTGGTGTGGCGCTGTTGGTTAATGCACTGTACTTCAAAGTCTGTTTGAACCGTAAGGTTGGTGGTTCAAGCTCATCAGCTGTTCCTCAGAAATCCTACACAGGGTCACTATGGGTCAGAACAGACTCCATGGCACTTAACAACAACATAGAAATGCAATGGTCCTCGAATAGCCCAAGCAACATTGAAGAACAAAGCTAGAGTACTTAACACTACTAGATTTCCAAATTTAGTATAAAACAACAAAGATTAAGATGTATAGTACTGTCCTATGTTTAAACAAATAGATCAATGTGCTAGCTTGAAGGTAGACCCATACATATGTGATCACTTGTTTTACAACATAGTCTTTACTCAAATTCCGTGAAAAATAATGAGGGTTTTTTGTTT